CCCCAAAACCCCAAAACCCCAAAACCCCAAAACCCCTATGTTATAGATTTGGCTTGAATTATTTTGAAATAAAAATTATTTTAAATGGAAAAGGTAAGAATTAAGAGATGTAGAAGATGACTCTAATATGCTAGAGCAAGGGGAAAGAGAAAACTCAGAGAATCTAAGCTTTTTGGTTTTTGGAAATCAGAATTTTGAACAGTTTGAGTTTACTTTAGGCAGCAGAAAAATTGAAACAAGAAATTAATAGCCAAAAGATGGAGTTAGAGCAAATAAAATATACAGAAGAGAAAAAAGAGAAGTTAAGTAAGTTCTTCCTTTTAATCAAATTTCTTAAAATCAACTAATTATTTGAAATCCATCTCCAGTTTATATAAAAATCCATTATTTATGATTCCCTTAAACTTCCTTTAGCTGGAGAAAGCAAAGGTAAGAAATTATCTCAAATTGATAGATAATGATGAACCCTTTACTCTTAAAAAGGAAGGAGAAAATGGTATCTCAAACACCTAAAATTTAGTACTTGACAGTGAGAGAATTCTGTCCAACTGGCTGATATTCCTCACAGAAGGAGAAACCCCCAGCAGACGCGCATATCATAGCTCATTTATTTACCAAGATCAGTAATTCACTTGTATGACACTCTAGTCTTTATATCCATGGAGGGCATGACATCAGGGAGGGAACAATGAGTTGTCTCTGGAGAATAGACATCAGTCATAAAAATAAAGAGCCAAAATGGGAAAAAATAGAAAATTTCCCAAATAAAAATTCTCCAGGAAAAATCGCCTATCATACCATCACAGTAGTTGGAACTACAGCGTATCTGATTGGAGGATCTTCACAAGGAGTAGACTCTATGATCGATTACACTCTTGATCTAGAAACATTTAATTGGACCAAAGTAAAAAGAGACAAAAATTCCCCTATATCTATCGACGAGCACTCTTCCACTCTGGTAGACAATGATATTTACATCTTTGGAGGGAATGTAGCTGGGTTCAGAAGTGCAGAAATGTACACATTTAACATCACTAATTATAAATGGAAGCATATAAAACCTGACAACAAAGGACCATGAGCAAGATCATCTCACTCTTGTGTGCATTCAGATGGGAAGCTTTATATTTATGGAGGGAAAGATGAAGATACTAATAAGCTCAATGATCTCTGGGAATTTGACCTCAAAACTCAAACTTGGAAAGAGATCACCATCACCCAAGATGTTCCTCTGTCAAGAAGTGGCCATTCAGCAACTGTATACAAAAATTTCATGATCATATTTGGAGGAATACACGAATTAACTCAAGAGCTTAATGATTTAGAGGCTTTTGACTTAAAATCTAAGAAATGGTATTCGGTAATAGAGGAGAAATGCTCGCCTACTCATTCAAATCTGTTAAACGGAGGCTTCTCTCCGGATCGTAAGAGTATTGCCAATATGGTTCCATCCCCTTATAACAAGACTATTGCCAATAATCGTAGAGTCCATACTCAAGAAGATGAAGAATCGAAGGGAAAATCCTTCATGCTTTCTGTTCAGAAAACAGCTTCCAGGAACCGTTCCAGACAGCAGAACCTGACCATTTCCAATTATGGCAAGAACCTGACCTTGACTCAACTTGAGAAGAAAGTTAAGGAGAAATAGAAGGGCTCAAGAGCATATTAGTGAAGAAACACTCCTTACTAGTCCAACTTCTCTATCAATGAAGAATTCATTCCTCATAAAAACTGCTGGCAAAGCTTTCGATAACTATGCTCATCAAGGTAAGTCCTTCCTAATCTTTGTAGTCCAAAAGAGAAACAGAAAGAAGCACAGCTTTAACTTGAACTCCAACAATCTTCCTGATTACTCTGCTAGCTACAATAATTTGGGTTCAGGGCAAGCATATGAGAAGTCTATGGGAAAGGTAGAAGCCTCTCTCCCCAAGCCTAGAGATGGTCTCTCAGGTAAGCCCTAAGCTGTAATCCATAGGAAACATTTACAATGACAGATACCTCGTTATATTTGGAGGAGATAGACATCATGTTCCATTCAATGATCTGTACACACTAGATCTTGCAAAAGAGATGTAATATTCTCAAAGTGAGAAAGCCCTTAGAACTCATAGATATTCGTTGTTTGGCTCATAAATCATATTTCAACGATAAAAATACTTTAAGGGGTTTTGGGGTTTTGGGGTTTTGGGGTTTTGGGG